GCAGTAAAAACAACTGAAGGGGTTTCCAATTCTGCCACAGCATCACATGCTACAGTGCCTGCATGGGCAGCCTCCCAACACTCTGGTATTTGAAAGAAGCAACGTAGGAGTTCAGAACCTGGAATCACCCAATTGCAGGATATTCTGAACGAATCCCACTGCAATGAATGGAAAGAAATGAGCATGATGAGGGGAAGATGACTTCTTTCCACATCAAATGTGATCAGGTGCCGTTGTTCTCATTAAAGAGGCTCATGAACTTCTAAATTAGGAGACTGTCAGCTTGGACACCCTGGTCCTGCTACAGTCTGGGCAACATCCTCACTAACTTTTTGGATCTAACTAGGTATAATTGTTACCTTCTTTGTGTTTGGCTGCAATAGCTTCTTTAATACCTTTCACATGCCAGTCCAGAACTTTGAATACCCAGAAAAATCCAGCTGGATCTTTCTCTACAATTAAAAACTCCTGAAGTCAACTGCCACACTGTCACCAGCTTCAGCAAAGCCAACACCAAATGTTACATATATTGCTTAGTAAGGACCTTCAGGATATGAAGGAACAAAAGGCAGTTGTGAGGTCTGCAAGACATCAACTGAAAATAATCCTAGGCCCCATGGTGCCAAGCACTATGCTAAATATATTTCTAATGAAAGGTGTATCACATAATACAAACTAATTCGCAGTATGCAGCCTGGTCCATTATCTCAGCCTCAAAATAAGACTGTTAGAAAACAGGTATTTAAACTCTATTTTCTCTCACTCCGTGGTTACATATAATTTCTTTTCCACATTTGCCAAGAAAGCTATTTCTAGCCACAGCAAACTCAGACTTTTAACAAAATGCATCTTGTATCCCACAATGAGCACATTAGAAGGACTTCATGCTGTAGCTACTTCATTAATTACTGGACTGGTGTTCTTAGAAATCTGTGGCATTTCTGAACTAACAGTGCTTACCCTGATGAGATCCCTCTTGCCCACAGCTGACCTTGAGTGTCCTTCTACCTCACTGAAAAAACCTCAGCCTCACTGTTCTGCATCTCTGTGTTCCAACGTTAGAGCAAATTAGAAGCTGTGAACGTAGCATTTATTATACACTGACAGAAAGAAATGCTGAGTCTGATCAAATGCTGGGCAGTGGCTCCATACCCAGTATAAGCTGTCCTTGTCCAAACCTGGACTCCCAGTGGCTGACAATTAGAAGGTTTCTGACCACAAGTCCAGACAAGTTCAACACCAGCTTCCAAATGACCACAATGGAATGCACAACAAACAAACAAATAAAAATTCCTCACCAAAACCTCATAGCTTTTAAAACAGAGTTTGATGTATTTTTGAAGAGAGGTTATATGCATGAGCCCTACTACAGGAAAGGACTATACAGAGCAACCCAGAAGGTCCCACTCAGTCCTGTGTTTGGTTTGAAGACCGGGGAAAAGTACAGAATTTCTTCTGCTTCTGGGTAATGATTAATAAGTGTACACATAATTATCTGTTTGGGACCTTCCGTTTATTCTTTGAAAAAAAAAAAAAAAGTTGATATTTTTATTCACATTTTAAACATAGACAGAAGTGGTGCTTACTAACAGAAACTCTTCACATATGAATAGCTCCCTGTCAAGGCTCTATATAAGAAGACTGTACTTAAAGCGTGGGGGGGGGGGGGAGCAGGAGGGAATGGAAAAAAAAGGAATGGAAAGAGGAGATACTCCATCTGCAGACACACTATAGAGTTATGAGAGCATCTAAAAAGGAAAAAGAAAAAAGCAACAAAAAGAAGTTAAGAGTATTAAGAAAGATTAAATGGCCCTTAGTTATTTGGGAAACATTCCACAGTACGTACACTGCTGACTAGTTTTGCTGGTGAGAAGCAGGACTACAACTTGTGTTTAGCTTTAGAGGTATTTTTAAATTAAATCTTATTTTAATTATTTGATTAGCTGTTGCCCAGCCAACCAAGGGAATGCAAATACACACTGTCTCAACGGGTCATAGCTCTCAGCTTTTAAGGGGAAGTAAACAGTGGAGCAATGTATCTAGTTCCCAGCTAGAGGCAGAGACACAAGTGGAATATTCCCCCCCTAAGCAAAGGGATATGGGCAGCAGCATCCAAGAAAGCAGCAGGAAGCTGGCAGTGGATATAAGGCATTGCATTGATCTGAACAGATGATCTCCTGTGAGAAAATACCTTTATTTATTCAGGCAGACTACATGGACGAGCTGACTGGCGCTGTGACAAATATAAAAATGGCAGCATTCTAAATGGGGACACATTCTGCCATCAAGGGAGGCTTCAAAGAAAGAGAACGGGCTGAACAGCACCTAAAAGGGCTACGTTGCATCCTTAGGACAAAACTCCTCTTGTACCTGATGACTGCCACTGTGGAATAAGGAACACTTGCCAACCATATCTGTAGATTAGCAAATCTACAGTGGATAATCAGAGGAGTTTCAACCCTCCATAACACAACCCTGACACTAACCTGGTTTAGAAAGAACTGCTTAAATGATCCAAGGTGCTGGTGTCCCTTTTGGAAGGGAAATGCTACTTACACATCCACCCTGCTGTTTCATTTGTATCATCTATAAACATCAAATAAAAACCATAGCTTGGCAGTGCAGTCACTGCACACGAATACTGTAAGAGACTGGCCTGGAAGAGCTTCCTGCCTGCAACAAGCACAAAACACACAGAAATTAAAAGTTTTGTCAGTATACACCCATGAAACCTGTGGAGTGGAGCTCCTTGCTAAAAGACATAAAGCCTATTTTGTATTTAAATATGAAGACAATTTTTCCTAGACTATTCTCTGCCTTATTCCCTTTTTTGAGACTTTTTAAACTTATATTGCAGGGTACGTGCCAAGATAATGCAAGAAAAGGTGAAAATATAACATTTAACACAGAAGTTGACCTTACAGTTCATTTATTCTGATGTGCAACACAGATGGAACTGCTAGTTTTTGTCGAGCACTAGTCAGTATTATTCAAAAAAAGGGCAATGGGAGGAATAATAATAAAAAGTTATTTAATGAATGAAGGAGAAGAAATACAACTTCCCTAACAGTTTCATACAAACCAGAAACACATACTAAGCCATCATAATGCACTATACCAGCACAGTTTTCAACACAAGACAATAACGTATTAACATGCTGCCTCCATCAAGATCTTCATCCTTTGGCCTAGAGACTCGGCATTAGTGCTCTCTAATGACAGACAGGCTGCACCAGATAACTTTGTTGTAATCTTACCACACACTCCCCATTCTCCATCAGTGCCTTCAGATAAACTTCTGGTTTCATGCTTCAGTTCCAGAAGCATTAACTTTAGATGAAATATGTTTGTAGGCAGAAACACCTTTTGCTGAAGAGAAGTGCAAGTCCCTGCCTAATTCTGGGAGACTTCCTGGCCTGCTTTTCTGTTAGCCTCTGAAATCTCTGCTTTGCTCTCAGGATAGACTGCCTGGTCAATAGGGGCACGAGGAGGTTGTAGGAATGAAAGAGACAACCATTGATTTTAAGCAAGGCTGAGGTTTAATGAGGAGCAATGCCAACAGGGTTGCTTAAAGGACCATCACTTAAACTCTCTTCACAGAATGAAGCTCCTGGATTTGGAATCCAAAGACCATTTTAATCACTCGGATGAGAATGTGCTACTGGAGACACACAGTAATGGAGATAGCTGTGTATGTAGGCAGCTGAGGCTAATCTGTGTCACTTAACACAGAAGGTATGATAAATCTGCTACAATCATTTGTTTTTAAAGTGGGGGAAAACAAAGAAGTTTTAAAATGAACCAGGGATTACTAGACTTTAACACAAAGAACCCTTCCCCTGAGTTTTCAGTCTTGCATGTATAAATGAAAACAGAATTAACACCTAATTTATCCCCAAACTGGGATCTGCAACTAATATTTTCATTTTGTCCCCCACTGCCCTCTCCCTTATTCCCCCTGGGGCAAGGAAAGCTATGATATAAATGCTAGCCATAACATGGAAAGGTATCCTAAAAGGGGGTAGAACCCACAAAAGCCCACTGTTCACCTCTGTCAGTCAGTGTATCTTGAAAAACAGCTGTTTAGACTTATCTGTAAAGGCATGTCTAGAAGAAAAAAAGCATATCTAGAACAAAAAAAAAAAAAAAAATTTCTAGAAGAACAGCATTATCTAGGAGAAAAAATAACGTTTACAGCTAATTATACCTAAGAGCAACTAAATTTCAGTGATACTAAAATAAACAAATAAAAAAAAAAGCCTTTTGCTTTATACCTCTAAAGAAAGAGGCTATGTGTGTTCAAAACATTTTTTCCTCTTTATAAGCTTTTCACTACAAGGCCACAGTAAAGGGGCTGAAAGTATTACAGGGAACTCCACCAGATGAGGAGCTAACAGACCCTAAATGCTGCTGCTGTTTTAAAACACCAGGGGCACGAACATTCAATACTAAAGCCACTGTCCTGGTCCTCAGCTCTCTACTTAGTACAAGGTCCCAGCATGCCAGGACACACAGGTGGCAAAACAGCAAACAAAATTACATGGTGTGAATGTTCTTTTCATACCAGTTCATTACCCATGTGTGTGCTTGGTTTCCTCAGTCTGAAAGTCAGACAGACACACTCAACACATGAAATTTTGGTTCTGAAGTCCCACTATTACTTCTAAAACAAAGCAGGCCTCTAAGACAACCAACGTTTGCTTCCCTCGTGCAAACCTGTGGACTGGAGGAAGGTGCTGACACAACTTGTTTTATGTAAGGAAGCAACCAGGCTCGCCGGGACAGCGGGGCCTGCGGGTGCAGCACAGTCAGCCACAGCCCAGCAGGAAGGGCCACCGCGGCGAGACGGTGAGGGCCCACCCGGCGCGGCCCAGGGCGGCGGCCCGCGCCACCCCGACTGGAAACCGCTCCAGAGCCAGACAGCCAGGGCCGCCCGCCGCGGCGCGAACGGCCCAGCCCCTCCCAGCCCCGCAGCGCGACACCTCCCCGGCCCAGCTTACAGCGGCCGTCCCGCGACGCAGACGCGAACCACTGCTCCCTCGCCGCCTCCTCCGCCGCGGCCGGGAGGGCGGTGGGGTGGGATATAAGAACAACATGTCCGTCCCCTCCCCTGAGGCGGCGGGAGGCCAAAATGGCGCCCAGGCGGCCTGAGGAGGGGGCTCGGCCAATCAGGAGCGCGGCTCGCGCCCCGGGCAGGTGCGGGCGGGAGCGCCCCTGGGCAAACGGCCGCCTCCCTGCCCCGGCCTCGCGAGGGTCCCGGGGAGGCGGTTCATTAGGCTAATTAGCTCTGGAGGCACTCAGGGCCCATGGCACCTAGAGCGAGGGGCAGGGTCAGCAGCCCTTCGTGCCCCTGAGGTAGGCTTGCGATTACACATGTAGACCTCCAGTACAGTTACTTCAGCTGTTCTCACTAATACTGCAATTTCAGGTGCTGCAGTGAAGGTTTTTTGTCTCTCCCTCCCACCCCATTCATCGCCACAGCTTGATGTATTTGCTGATTCTCAGGGTTGTGACTAATGGGTTTTTTAGATAGTCTAGCATGAAGGAAGCAGTCACTTTATGGGAGTACAGATACAGCAGGATCCATCAGCCTTAAGAAGCCGGAGTCCACTCAGTAAAGTGAAGCACCCACTCCTTCCAAAGCATGAGCTACACCCCGAGAGCAATGTGCAAGTCAAGAACGAGAAGAGGCAGGGGAAAATAACAGGAGTGAGAGATAAAATCCACAGCAAACAGGCTGCTGTTGCAGGGTTACGCAGCTGCACTTCAGCAAAACCCCGAGCAAGAGCAGGAGGTTACTTGGCCAGTCTCCTGTGTGTAATTTAAGAGCTAAGATACTCTGGGACTGTGCCCACGCCACTGCGAAGAGCACCATCGGACCTGTGATTGCGGGGCTTTCATTTTACAGAGGAAGATAACCAGCTCCTGTTCTTTCATTAGTGTCCTTGTCCACAAAAGGGGTATCTTTAGGGCTCAAATCCTAGACAGAAACCTGCTGGGGAAAAAAAAAAATAGTAAAAAAAAGAAGTGGGTCATATTCATGAAAGCCTTTCAAAACAAAAAGAAAGTCCTATGGTCTTGTAAATATATATATAATATATATATTAAACCCATAATTTATATATTACATTAAAATATATGATATACATGTTAAAAAACTCATGGTTTTAGTTACTGAGGTACCCAAGGATGTGCTGCCTCTGAGCCTTTATCTGCCGTATCTTGGTCAAACCTCATAAGGCTGTGTTTGAAATCACACTGCACTAAGAAAACAAATGATTAGAGCAGAGCAAGGGAGTCAGGGGATTAGTTTATTCTGAGTGGCCTTGAGTAAGTTATTTTTAGCTCTGAGGCCCTAATCTTATAGTGGGCCTGGGGCAGATGAAATACTCGAGCACCTACACAAAGCACATTTATTTTTTTCTCATCAGAAAAATGGGGATAACAACACATACCTCTCTCTGAGAAGTGTCTTAATCATTAATCTTTATTAAATACTTGGAAATATGAAGTTTTAAAATGACTGAATACCAAACCAAATTAACATTTTGCAATACCATCTGAGTCAATAAGGTAGAATGACAACACAAGCACTCATTGTATTCAGCTCACAATCACCACTGGAAAAATCTAACACGAGGAAGCTCTAATAGTCTCTCCCTCTTCTAACAACCAGCTGTAACTACAAATAGAATACAAAAGATGAGTGACTAAATGAATTAGTCTTGCACTGCATCCTCTATCTTGTTAAATGCAGGAAGTCTACACAGAGCAGTTTCAAAGGGTTTAATGAAGGAGAAATGCAAGCTCTGGGATCTCAACCCTTGAATTGCCCAGCCTTCAGACAAAAGGTACCAGTTCTGCAAATAAAGGAACAAATCTTGCTGCTGCCACAACTTAGAAAACACCCTTTAAAATGCAAGACTTGTCCTTCATTAGGACCATGACAATTTCACTATCCTAAGAGTATTATTCATTCTGTGTATTCAGCATGAGACATTTTGTTGCCTTCCTGCTTTTTATGGTAGGTGCAAGTCTGTAGTAGTCTTACCAGCAGTTATCATTTTGTACTAGTTTTCCATTTCAGAACATCTCATAACATCACAAGTGTTTTATTTGCACATGAGACAGCTGCATTGCAAGTCTGTGCACTTTTTATTAGAAGTAGACAGGAGCTGAAAATGCGCTAAAAATTTAAAAGTGGACTCTCAGCACCCTCTTGTGGATTTGTGGTGTGATAACCACCAAGTATTAAAACTTTCATTACAATTCAGAGCTACAGAAAAGTTACTTTTTTTCAGGAAAACTGCAATAGGGAAGTTAAGTGTGAATGGCAAAACTTTGTAGCTAATGATTATTTTTATACCTGAATAAAGCCTGCATCTTTAGTGCAACCATCTCTTGTGCCACATTAAAAAAATCTACCAGTATATACGCAGGCTCTCATACAATATATGAACTGTAATACTATTAGTTCAGTGGTGGCAAGGGATCCTGTTTCTATTAAAATTTGCACCTATGCCTGCAGGCCTAGTCAGGATCAAAGCTGTTATCATTTAGAAAAAAAATTGCCTGTGGTGGCTGCACAGAGTAAATTCCTTCCAAGAGAAAATAGGATTCTTGCTCTGCTTATTAAGATGCTAGTAGCCAGAAGCTCTTCCAACTCAGCACATCATGGCAATGCTTCTGTCAGGTCTGGGAACAAATAGGAGACCGATTGCTGCTACTGGGTAGATGTGTTTTTCTGATAAAAGTGGCTTTCCTCCCCCATATGTATGCTTGCAGTAAATGCCCTGTGTAAGAGGACAGAGATAGAAGGACTTTTTTGGTTTTGCATACATGTATAAGGAGTGGCCAGTATCCCCCTATAAGCAGCTGTTTTCCACGTGATTTACAGATCACACTAGATCTGTAAGTCCAACCTGAAGAATCTACAGAAGTCAAGGAAGACTGATACATACACTAAATACTCCTAATTACACATGACCAAATCTTGCCCCAAGTCACCCAGGTTGGTATCAACGCTGCTAGCTACATTTTGTATGTACCAGAATTTAATGAATGTTGTGACTTAGGTGAAAACATTCAAACCATACATGTGGGAAGAGTTTGCTACAACATAACAGCTTCAGCATGTTTTAAACAAATCCTCAAAGCAGTTTCAGTGCCTGTCTAAATGCATAAGCATAACCAGCAAGCATTAATAATGCTGATCACACTCACAGTGAATTAAAACATGTACAAGGTTTCTTGAGCACATCCATCAGATTCTTTTCCCCTAAGGAATGTACAGGTGCTGAAATATGCTCAGCTTTCCAGTCTTTTTATTTTTTGGGGCAGCAGCAATACAGTTACTGTTCCAGGTATATTGAAATTTAAGATGTTTTCCCTCACGTGAAGATAACATGATTCCTATTAATCACCACAGTTCAACAGTAGAAGCACAGTTCTGCAGATACACTGGCTACTGCATCCAGCCTATGCCCTTCACTTTCACTACACCCACCTCTGAGAATCTCAATAGTCCCAAGTCTCACAATACTGAAAGGGTTTAAAAGGGATACCTCTCAGTCACCATTCCTGGTATCTACCGCATATTTTCAACATATGGAACACTGATGACAAAATACAAATTCCCATCAGTGTGGATTTCTTCCCTTTGGCATTTAGCAAATTTATCTGGTTTATTTTTTCTTAGGAAGTATGATTCAGGCACATACATACACAGTTACCTTTGAGAAAGTTAACACTAGACATTAAAATACTGTAAATTTAGTTGTAGTTTTGCTCTATATTTTATTTTTCAAACATACACATTCTAACATATTGCTGTCTGTTAGTTACGTGTTCCCTTTGGAACACTGTATGCTTCTGTTGGAACCAGAATAATTTCTGCAGCTAAATGCAAAGCACCTTCAGAATCTATTCCTACTGCAGAACCAGAACAGCAGCTCATGCTTTCTGTGTCAGGCCATGAGCAAACACAGGAGGCAGCATCTAAGTTCTTTCTGCTGCATTATCTCCTCCAGGAAAAGAGAAGCTATACAATGCAAGCCTTTATGCATTTAGACTCGCACAACTATCTCCGTGCCTTTTAAAAAAAATATTGTTTCCTTTACAATTGTACAGTTTATGCCCCTAACATGTAACAAACAGATTTGTGCCACCATACTTTGTGGGCTAGGCACAGCGTATCAAAATTAGAAACAATTGTTTAATGAACAGTAACCTATATATTCCAGTGAAGTCTGTAAGAAATGAGAGGCTGCAGTTAAGCATCTTGAAAGTACAGTTTTGAAAAGTGAAGTCCACGGATCTCTGAGAGCTGCAGGGTTTCTGTTCTAGTGAAAAACATTAGTCATGTATTTCATTGCTTCTTCACATATATTAAGCGTGAAGACCTCTGTGGGGAAAATGGTTCCGAAAAATTTAGGAATATTTCAGATGGCTTCCACATCTATAAATATGAACACACTCATAGGAAGTGAAAGAGGAAAAATTCCTACTCACCAGAATTATATATCATAGTGACCAGGAAAGCAAAATATAATAGGCTCCTGCTCCCTCATTGCTTCTTTATGGCATTTCTTTCACTTTGCTGAAGTTGCTGCTCAGAGGAAATAGGAGTAGCTTTGGTAAGCAGTTATCCCTGCAGTTGGCTGACATAATTTAGGACAGGCAGTACATTGATTTTCTATTTCCCTTAATAGGTCATACATACAAAATGGATACACCAATTGATTGTTCATCTAAAGCAGAATTAATTGCAGACACATGGTCACACACTACAATTTCTGCCAACATGATTTGGAATGCAACTAAGAAAACCTCAGTTGTGGATATGTGCTATTGCAGAACAACATACAACTTAGCTAAACTGGCAGATATTATTTAGGCCTCTGATGGAATGAGTATAAGGCTCCATTTTTGATCATATAATGCATATTACGTATCTCCTAAAGATCTGCAATTTTTTTAGATTACAGCTCTCTTTGGTTTTGGTCAGACTACCATCAGTTTGCCACTTCCAATTAACCTGAACACGTACATTTTCTAATTTCCAGTTACACCTTTCCAAACTTTGGTGGCTTTTTGGCAAATGTCTCTTCAGAAACGCAGCATCTCAGACTCCAGCAGGATGTCAGTGCCTCATACTTTAATTCACCGACCATTTCAGCTAAATACTAGCCACAACTTACAGAAGTCTGTGAGCAGCTAAACTGTTTTCTTGTCCCTATTAAGTGTACTAATAGACATATGTAGCTTGACTTGGGATTTTTGCACGCTCTGAAGATTATTTCCCCTTTTACAGTGACAAGAGCAAAGCCTAGAAATAGATGAGCTTAACTCTCTTTTATCTAATGTTAGTGTAAGGTTTAGTGTTTTCATCCACTGATGTGCCATGCAATAACCAGTAAGTCAACTGTTTTGTAGCTCCATAACATTATTCAAAACCCCAAAGTACCAGAGTTTCACATTGAAACTGGTGATAACAAGTATGTGCATATACGTATATAAACCCTGTCAGGAATACCTGTCCTTAAGAAAAGGTTCCTCTCCAGCTCTGCAACTATGTATTTTGAAAACAAAACCAAACAAGTTTAAAGTATATTTCCGAACAGTCAGTTTGCTCTCTGACCACAATAAAAAAAATCCCTCTGCCATACAAAAAAATACTATAGTTTATTATAATTTAGGAACATGAGTAAAGTATTTTACAATAGCTTAAAATCCATAGCAATCTCTCCTGTCTTTGTGTCAAAATTTATAGCATACGTGACAGCACTAGGAAGGTCAGACAGAGTTTCAGATTCAATAACAGAACTGAAAAAATACACAGCTTGCTTGCAGTGGGGATTCCATTCACAGCTTCCCTACAGGAGAGAGTTAAAAGTGAAAGCAGTCAAAACTACGAGAATATTACTAAACAGTAATAATGCAGTAAGAGTTCTTGTTCCCAGTTCAGTACACAATGATCAGGATCCATTGCCATCCATTCCATTACAAGAATACATAACCTGAACTACCATATGCTACAAAAATAGAAAAAATGGATATAGTCAAAGAATAATTTAGATAGAATACCAAAAATACTCCTTTCCCTCAAAACTGTTGCTTTTTTTAAACTGAGAACATTGTATGAATAAATTCTACTTTGAGCTAGCATCATATATAAATTCTGAACATGGTTCCAAATTATGGGAGAATTTGGATCCAATTCAGACTCTCCCATTCTAAGGTCCATCTCCAGCTCACTCCAAAAATATGAAGATAGTTCTACTACTTCTGTCTACCTAGTATTCAAAGAGTGTAACAAAGACCACTACGTAAACCAACTGTGGCCAACAGAGACCCATTTTTCAGCACTGTAATCCTATAGACCTTGACATAAATTAGACTGAAGAAATACCTTTTCATCTGAAATTTGCACCAGTCCTGTACTAACAGAGATATCCGCAGCAAGATGATATTCCATCCACAGAACTGCTCCATGGCTCTTTCCTTTCCTGGGAAGAGGTGAAGGATCAAAACCTGTTACTTTATACAATACTGATAGTTTAAATGCTACACCCATTCGTCACACAGTTTAGGTGAGAGCTGTAAAAGCATGAATAACTTGTTTCCTTCAAAAAAAGTTGAACAGCTGAATGATTTGGTAGCAACTTTTAAACTATTTACAGATACGAAATCTAAAAAAGCCAAGGAAAAGGAGAATATGTCATAACTAAATCTGCTCAGAACCACAGTCATTTAACAGGCACTCGATAACATGGCATAAGTTACATGGCATATTTGGAGTACGTCCTTCAGAGACCCCAGCTTCTACCGTTTCTGAATTTTGAGGAAGTATTTACCACACATACCATCTCACTTCAAGTGTCTGCTCCACAAAGAGCAGAGGTCACGTTAGCATGTAGCCTGCAAATACAACAACTGGTGCAAAGGCACAGAGACCCCACGCAGATGGTTCTGGATTCTGTGAAACCTTGAATTTTGTTTCACAAAGAGAAACATATAATTACAGCAGTATTTTTTTTAGTTACATAAGCTCTAGATAGTGAAAAAAACCCCAACAACTTTCCTCTGTTTTTTAATTCTTAACAGTACTTTGAGTTTGAACAGAATTAAGTACAATCTGTAGTTAGATTATTAGTAAAAATTATCTCAGAAGACGTGACAAATACCAAAATTATCAGAATCATAGTTGAGAGGAAGAACAGCATACACTTTGAAGCTTTTAAAAAGAATAATTTGGAAAGCTACAAAGGAGCTTTTTCTGCAAGAACTCAGCAACAGGGAACAAATGCAAAGATTAAAAACATCCAGACAATGGTTTATTTTCTCTAAACTATTGTTTTAAATCATGGTAACATCTAGAAAAATGTTATTTTTCTAATACAGGCATATTATCTAAGATATTACCCATATTGTTATAGCCTATGGTGAGTAGCCCCAGGAAATTCGTGTCAGAGTAGCTTCTACAACTTTAGGTCACATTATTAAGAACTGTCAAGTATGTTCCTACTAGTTAACTGTAATACACAAAGAGCTTGAGTATGAGGTAAAAAAATGGACGATGACAAGAGTATTTATTGCAGTGAGAAAACTCACCGTAAAAGATTTACAGAACCCTCTGTGCTGAGACTGTGTTGCGGTACAGTCTTTCTGAAGTCAAATGTCAAAACTTCCCGGGGGTCAGAGAGTGACTTGCAAGGATACTCCCACAGAGGGTGAGGTTCTGCTTCCTTGGATTCCCTAAAATTCAGAGAATTCTGAAGAAAGAAAGTAATAAAACTATCTGAAAACAATCCAAAAGCAATCAGTCCTTGTTTTCAAGCAATTATGTGTTCTGAGCCCAGCGTATTTAAGCAATAAAGCTGCAAGAAGACAGGACTGCACTTCTTGGGCACAAGGGAAAATACGTTCTACATGTATGAAGTAATTGCTATGACTATGGTCCTCAGCAGTGAAACAGAAACAGGCACTTTCAAAATACAATGTGTTTAACTTTTATTCTCCCTTGAGATGAATTCTACTCTAGAAATGCCTGTACTCCTCTCCTACACAATGACTATAAAGGCAATCTAAATGGCTCACTCAAATGTGGGTATAGACAGTACCGCTCTAGAAACTGATACAAATAAATCTCACCCTTCATATCTATTTCTTGGAAGTCAAAAAGCCTTTTTCACTTTCAGAAGTACCTGCAAGGGCAAGTAAGGGCAGCAGGATTCATCTGTGAACAACTCCTAGATGATGTGATTTCAAGCTCAGAATAAAATTTTGAGAACAGTATTTTTCTTTCTGAGTAAACAGAATTATTTTCAAAACAGTGCAATGTACTGAAGAGCTTGACAAATGAGAAGAAATACACAACCCCAAACCCCATACCACAGAAGCTACTGTTTTGCAAGAACTAAATAGCCACCATATTTACGAAAAACTAAAACAATGGTGTTCTGTCTAACATACAAGTTTTTCAACAGTCACTAAATACTTGTTTGAGCCAACATGACTTTTGTTCTGGTTTGCTAAAACTTGTACTGAAACTACTTTTAGTCTTCTTACTTTAATCATATCATCCATAGTCTGGACATCGAAACCTTCACAGGTGCCACATGGACTCCGGATTCTCCATAAGTCCTAAAAAATAAAACAGGATTTTGTTTGTCTTTATTAAAGGAAATAGGAAATCTTAAAGTCATTTGAGCTGTAAATTAGACATTAGACAAGCCAGATGAAGACTCTTCACTACCTATACATTCCTAAACCATCAGAACTACTGAAAGAATCAGAAAACAGTGTAATTCTGGGAAAGTATTTTGCAAGTCAGTTAACTCTTTAGCCACTGTTTTCAACACCTCTAAAGAATCTGCCACATTTCCAACCATCTTTATGCATAGCTTACTTTAGAGCAGATACAGATTTGCAAAGATTAAACCCTTACAGCCCCCCCCATTTCCACTACCCAGCAGAGATAAGTGCTCCCAGTTGCATCAAACATTTTACAGCCTATCAGACTGCCATACTTCTCTTCAGCACTCCAAAGATTAGTAAAATCATTTTAGGCACTTCCTACTATGCCTCTCATTGAGTTTAGCAATCCGCTGGACAGACAATGATTCGGTTCCACTTTTGCCTTTTCTTAGATTGCATTAATGGTCTCTTAGTAGAACAAGAACATTCACTAGCTGTGGATATATACATTTTACTACCTGTTCATTGTTGCACTTAGCTACCCCAAGTGTTCCTGCTTTACAAGATGGCAACAGGACTACTATAAATTTAAGTAAATGCTGTTAGAAATTATGCCCGAATACAGCACCAACTAGAGTTATAGATACCTGATAGAACTATCAAATCAGATAGGTAGCATCCTGCTCCCTAAATGCAATTATGGACTAAACAAGTTTATAACTGAAGTAATCTCATCAAATTCTTTCTCCTGGATCCAGCTTTTGCTAATTGCTTAACTGTAAAGACATATCCCTACTCTGACAAGACAGAACAGCCTACAGAACCAGTTCTGCAGAATACCTTACAACACTACGTCAGTTCCTTCTGTCTAACCAAGAACTGGTAAATATAGAGGTTATTTTAAAAAACCCCAAAGATTCTTGATTCTCCACTGAACAAAGAGGAAAATGTGAATTAGAGCAATAGCTTTTGGAATAGCTTAATGGAACTAAACACAAGTTAAATGTTCTACCAAAATACTTGGTATTTGGAATACAGTTATTTGGAATTATCTCTGAACACAACCCTGTACATAAAAGTGAGACACTGAGGTTGAGGTGACACGAATGTTACTCTATATTCTGCTACTAGATTGCTGAATAATCTTAAATCATCACTCTGCATGCTTCAGTTTCCTCATCCAGAACGAGAATAAAGCTTACTTCCTTACAAAATGTTTTGAGTTCTAAGGAAGCAAGTCCTCTGGACAAGGAAGCATGGAATTAAAATTAACTGCTTATTTCAGTCTGATTACTGTTGATTAATCTTAAATAACTGCTTCCTATTGTAAGATTCAGATTTACACTGTTTACTCAGTATATATTTAAATTCCCTACATTTTTGCAGAAAAGTGAAAGGTATGTAAAAACATGCAGCATAGCTGATCAGTTCCAGAGGGAAAAAAGAACATACATATTTTTACAGGCACAAATCAAAGGCGGAAATAAGCAAACAAGGTTAAAGAGCATTCAAATAAGGAAGTTGTTAAAGGAGAGAAGGCTCAGACACAAAACTACACAGTTGGTGAACCAGATAGAGGGAAGAAAAGAGAAATAAAAGGCTTGGCATTTATAACAGATAAACTGAAGGTTCTGTTTATGTGAAAACTCATCAGATTATAGGCATTTTTTAAATTTAGATACATCTATTTTAGTTACACAATTTCAGACGAAAGCTACTGGACAAAAATTTTGCATATTAATTATGAAAGTACTTATTAATTTACTAACTAAGTCCTTAATAACTGCAAAAGTTTATACCTTTATCCAATTTCTGAAAGAAGACTTTTCGAAGTACTTTTAAGATGTGACCCCTATTATGGTCAAATTTAGAACTGCACAGCCTCAACTAGTTAAAAAAAAGAACAGGCAATTATGAATCCTGCCTACAGTCTTATATTAATAAAGCACCATTTTTAAACCTGTTATTTTGCAGAATATCTAATTTTATAACTAACCACAATTCTCAGCTGCTTCAACAATACCTCTTTAACCCAAAGAAATATTTTAAAACATTCATCCCTTTCACTTAAAATGGTGAAGTTAATTTTCTGACAATAGATGGTTGAAATAGCAAAACTCATCTTCAAGATGTCAAATACTCTTTTCTCAGGTGGTAAGTGCAAAACATACAGAAGTGGACAGCATTAAGAGGAGATAGACATGTTGTTAAAAAGTCTTGGAAGAGTACTCAATTTTAAGTGGATTTGTGTAAATATCAAATGCATAGTTCCAAACAACCTCACCTGAAACTCCACAATCATCATGTGCAAAGAAGCAGACTGAGGTAGGACAGTGGCGTTGCTGGTAAGGTGACTGGTCACAGCCGTCCTAGCATACCAGAAATACAAGTTGTGCCATGGTAACAAACTTGTAGTAAAAAACGGCTCTCCCACAAGAACAGAAATCTTGACAAAGAAAGGAGAAGATAAAAAGCATTATAATAAAGAACACCAACTCAATAACACAGGCAGTTTATATCTTCAATAGCTGACAATGCAATATAGCAAGTGAAATCATCTAGATAAAAAATTATACTTTTCCTTAAAGATTTATCTACTGCATATACTGCACAACAATCTTTCTGTGGTTTTAGTTAACAGATTTTAAAATTAATTTTCCTGCAACAAAGTTTGAGAGAAAACACTGCAGTTTTAGATTGGAAGGCTTTGTAGTAAGAGTCATAAAATTTTGAAATTTTTAATTTAGGGATGTTAGTACTTTCAAATAGACTGCAATCTTCTGAGTGCCTTGAAAGTGCTACAGCCTAGTAGAACATATGCAGTTAAACCAGTTTAACTGCCCCTAGAACTGGTGTAGATTATGCAAGAAGGGGAGGTCATACCTTTTCAAAAACAAAGCAAAAACTCTCCCATAGCCTTTAGACTAAGCTTCATTTAGTTTTGGTGGGACAAGGTCTGAACCATCAACTCACAACATTTTATATGGGATATAATGAGATTCACTGTGGTTACAGCAGCACAGTAGGAAAGCAAGATTCATTTTCAACTTCTGCTCCCCACCACACTGCTGAAATTCAGTAGTGAACAACTGTAACATACCTTTTTATCTTCCACATGAGAAGGGGTCAGCAACTCAGGACGTGCTTCTATTATTTTAATTTTATCTTCAAGATGATTTGCTTTAAAAAACTACAAAAAAAAAGTAGCATACTGTCTTTATCAAAAGCTACAGCTGAGATTCAAATCCACACCAAAATAATAATTTTATTTAAAATAAATCAAAAAGAAATCAGTAGCCAAAGGAAATTTTTTAAAAATTGCCTACTATAACTCATCAGGATGACACAAGTCTATTCTTGAAGGGTGCATGCACTTAGAGCCAACATGTCACACCTAGTGAAATAAAGCACATGCCCCACATATTTCTTCAATTAAGTATATAAAAAGGCAGATAACACAAAAGTTGCCTCACCTTCAATCATTTGTACTTTGAAGCACACAGGAAGGACAGTCAAGAAAGATAAAAATTACTTCAGCTATGAACACCAGGCATATTTGGCTTCTGTTTGAGACCAGGTTTGCATCCCAATTTGCCTACCATTCATATTTTTGTACTCCTAAGCCACAGGCTGAGATAGACATCTTTCAAATATATAGTGCCAACTAAACAGACACAGCTGAACGATGACTTCAGGAAGCTGCTTCCAGTCACTTCTTAGACTGTAGCTGCCTCTCCTGAACAGCCTCCACTCCACTGGCAGGGCCTTCTGTGCTCCACCCCAAGGAAGCAGCTGAAACATCACTTGCAGTTAAGACCCACTACCTCCTGTCTCCTAAGAGCCAAAGAGCAGAGCAGCATTCCCAACCTGTCTTAGCTGGAAGACAGAACTGCTAGATGCCACTTTACAGGTCAGACTGGTGCAAGCTATAGGATGCTCTCCCATCACACTAATCCTCAGAAACAAGCAGCTTGGTGTTTATCTGAAATGAGGGCAGCAGAGCAGCAGCTCAAGCATACCAGCCAGCAGGCATCAAGCACTAGCAGTGATAATTCCCTCTGCTCAGCTCAACCTCCCCAGCTGCCTATTCAGCTTGTGGCTAAAGCTAGGAGATTGGATGTACCTCCAACGGGATGGATTCCTCATGGTATTTACATACAGCCCTGTCCTCCTAGTATTTGCATACAGACCTGTACAACTACTTGGAAAAAATCATAATTCCTTCCTTCAGCATATCCCATCTCCCAGTCTTGTCAAACTGTATGATCAAATACATTCATTAAACTGATTTAACTTCCAAGCAACTGATGCAAGGACAATGAAAAGCATCAGCTCTGGCCTTAGAAATGCCATGAGTTCATTTACTGCTTTAACTGAAATACTGAATACTCACTTTAACTGAAAACTGAATACTCACTTTTTTCATGACAGAACAGGACACAGCAGAGTTTTCTAATGTAAATACCTAAAGAAAATAAGCAACAGTTAGTCAGTTAGCTTTGTAATTTTCAATTAAAAGAATATGTAAACAAACAATGAAGCAACTATTTTGATGTCCTAGTGAACATAGCTCCTAAGAACCATGCATCTATTCCACAGCCCACTGTCATGTACCTTTTTAACAACAAAAACACCCCCAGTAACTACACACTAAATAATGCTGTTTTCACAGCCATACAAGAAAAAAACAGAACGCAAATATTTATTTTCCATTTTTAAGATGCACATAGCATATTAAGATTTGCTCTAGGCATATATATATACTCCTGAACAAATGCAAGCATATTGCCTGTGTGCTGAATCAAACTCCATTAGTGCTTGCTCCTTGTAAGCGTTGTTTAATATGATCTGACTGCATCAGCTGGAAAGAGCTCAGATGTACAATGCAGCACACCAGCCTTCTTAAGAAAAAAAATAGGTTTTATTCAGATGTGGTGAATACTTAGGCAATATGCTGCTACAGGGCTAGGAAAATATTAAGGCAATCTCTTTGTCTGCCCTATTAATTTCTTCTCTCCTGGTCATCTGTGACTAGACACTACTAAAGGCAAAAATACAGGGGCCATGGATCACTGGTTTAATTCAGCATGTTTATTTCTATGTATTTCCTAGCATCTTCCTCAGGATTATATTGCATTACACATTCCCAGATATTCAGTCCAACTATAACAGATTTTAGTTTGAAGAGCCCCATGAGAAAACACATCAAGTATGGTATACACACAAGTGAGACAGCCAGGCAGCTCTCAGCTCTCATTTACACACAGACTCAGTATTCTTATTGCTTCCTATCTTGCTGTTACAGACCTTTCATTTTAGACTAGATAATAAACATAATTATGGAATTGGAAACATAAAAGAAGAAAAAAAATTGCCAAACATTTAAGTTGGTAGAAGCAGTATTTGCAAAAACACCAAGATACAAGATGGCAAACAGCAATCAGTGGGGAATGAGGAACACCACTTTCATTCAAGGTTACATATTGGTAAACATCAAAACTGGTAATTATTATCTCCCTAGACTTCAGCTTGATCAGAGATTAATTTAACCTCCACTTCAACACAGCGGGAGCCTCCTTCTCACTTGTCATTGAAGAGGCATTGGAAATAACTAAATAACAGGCTAGAAATTCTGAACTAGATGAGAGAACTAAAAATATCAAGATAAACCACAAAGATCAGAAAAAAAGGAAGAATCACTGTACCTGCTTTGCTCCAAGATAGTGAGCCAGCACCGGCAGCAGACTGCCATCACTGATACAGAGGCAAACACTATCTTTTTTCAGAACCTACAGAAATTAAATAGTCACTGTTATTCTTATTCCAGATGAAAAAGTTTTTGAATTCTACACATTTTAATGGCGTTTTTTCCCCACTTCATACTCTTCCATGTCAAATAAGGACTGGGAGAGAAAGTGATTAATATAACCACTTCAAGCAGAACAGAACAGCGTAAGAATGGTTATGTAATCCCCTTGTTTTAGGTCAGAAAAAAATTGCACAAAAATGTATTGAGGTCTTTATTCAACTAACAATACTCTTTCTAACAAATACACAGAGCTGCTACAAAATCCTATGCAAAAACGGCTGCTTACAATTTACAAAAAGTAATACCAAAGTTTTCATGACAACTTATATCTGCCAATGTAAATAAAATATAATTTATGAGTAAAGACCTTTAGCAAGGGAGAAACAAACTCCACAAAACATTACTGCAAGTAATACAATACACGCATCTATCACAGAAGCCAAAAAACCTACTGGCAACACGCACTCACTTTCATCAAAGCCTTGATGTATTGGCGTGTTCGGTTCTGATCATTTAACTCCCCAAAGCGCGGTCTGTTCCAAAGAAGATGAGCCTGACATCTACAAACAGGACTCTCAACACGAACATCTGATTTATTCTCCTCTTCTCCTCTGCAAAAAAATTTCAATGACATATTAACTACAGCATCAGTAACATGTTTTTGCAAACATGTCCATTTACACGTTTTAGCTAGTATGCACATTAATGCATTTGGACTCCACTGCTACTTGTTCAAATTTACTAGTTCTGCAAGGACTGTTTTTTATCTTTGCATTTCCAAATTAAAGGAAGGGCTAATTTTCACCTTTTATATATATAAAAAAAAAAAAAACAAAACCCAACAAAACAAAACCAAGAGCCGCACAAACATTCCCACTGACTGCGACGGTTAGGTGTTTTAGGCTTTGGCCTTTTAGAAAAAAGTTACTCATTTGGATTCCTAAGTAAAAAAGGCACATAAAATTCAAGCATTGACTTTTAAAGCTGGCATTGATTTTTAAAAATGTTGGCTGATATTGTCATTGCAACCAACATGATTAAGCTCCTTTTAATTTGAGCACAAGGCATTAATCTCAAAGACAGTGCTGACTACGAAAATAGAAAATTAAAAAAAAAGACATGGAATGGCAATTATATCACTCCTTTACCTATATGCCAGCTTAGCTGAGATATGTTTTAAGATTTTCAGGAACCTACCATGAGTGATTTTTGTTTCTTTGTCACAGAACACCACCAGGTATAAGGCAGGAGCCTGCAGTCCAAACCTTGACTGTGTTTTTATGTATCACTTGTTTTTTTCACCTGTGCATTGCCTATGAAGTGGCTTTTAATAATTTTTCCAGTCCTTAGGTTCTTATCTTGCTCTTCTACAAAATACCTGCTCTAAGAACAGCAAATACTTGAGCTTGGAATAAAATACCACCCTTTGTCTCACAGATGTATTGTTACCTGGCTTTCTGCAGCTTATACCACAGGGCATACTCATCACGGCAGGCAGTCAGGTACACCTTCTCACCCTGGAGAACCAGCTCCTCATTTGGAAGAAAATACACACACTGCATCCAGTGATCTCTCCACTGAAAAGGGTTGATAAACAAAACCTTAGGAATTAACTCATAAATAGTAAATGGAAAGTAAACAAATAGCAGGAAATCAATTAGTAAGAATAGGCATAACTCTGAAGCACTGATGTATGACTAGTTAAAAGAATCTTGTTCATGTTAGCAAGGCTGAATAAGGACTAATAACGTATATTGAATAAAATACTTCTACAGATTTTTTACAACAGAATAAACCCAAGACCACTGGCTTGCTGACTAGCTAAGTGTGTATTTTATCAAATGAAAACCAAATCCAAAATACACTTTGCATTTATTAATGCAGTTTTGCCTCTATAGTTCACTTATGTTAGAAACCTGTATTGAAAGGCTGACAGTGACCAGTGGTTGGAGCCTCATGTATGAAACGAGGTCACTTAGCGTCACTCGGGTATGACAGCACAACTACTTTGTGTTTCAAAAAGCTACTTACTGCACTGCAAATACTTCAAGCTGATCGCTCATTCCAAGCTGACCAAATGCCCTGAAGCATGATGGTTTCAAATTTTAGTCTCAAACACAGTAAGTGCAAACAATCATTCTGTAGCCTCCTTTTAACTAAGTTGATCCTACTAGTAAATACATTCATAGAAAAACACATTAATCTGATTTAGTAGTGATCTCCTGTTCCTCTAAATATCCAGTATTGACCCAGCATTTTCCCACACCAGCCTTTTTTATGGGAGTATAAATATATTACCATGAACTTAACACTTATTTGGAAATTTAATAGAAGAACTACATGGAAGCAAACCACAGACTAATATTTTGATCAGGGATAGAGACTAGTTAAATAAAATAATTAAAATAAAAATAATCTAGAAGACAGCTTCAGTTTTTCAACTTTAAAGCTTAAATGTAAGTCTTACAATAAAGAAAACCTACAACAGGAACATACTAAAGTTAACATTTCTATGACGTGCTTCTTTAGCATCTTCCAATAGACAAAACACTAGCAAAGTTCTTATACAGTTTAAGGGACAGCTGCTTACAACACCCATTACGGCCTTTACTCAAAATAATTACTGGTAGTCTTCCGATGACAGTATCTGAAGGCTCAGTGTTTTACCTGGAAAGCAGAAGTGGAGTTTACCCAGTATGGAGCCATTGTACAATTTATCGTCCCAGAAGGGTCCATGTCAATGTCCCACCAGGAAAGCACGATTTGTGCCTTGCCAGATTTCACAGGCTCCAGCTGCAGTCTGTAGTAGGTAGAAGCACTCCTCACTGGCTTACTGAAATCCACACTGCAGAGAAGCATCAAAATTATAAAAAAAAAAAAATTCAGCATTCTTCAGAAATTCTCACATAAGCTGGATACACAACCTATATAAAAGGCATAGCAGGAAAATTTAGTTTAACAAAACAATGCCTATACCTGAACATTGTCAACACATCACTAAGGATAGTGAAGTCACTTGAAGGCATCTGGTTCAGCTGGATGTCACAAACAGAAGGAACACCTGGACAGTTCTCCATTTCTGAAGGGGACACAATAATTTTTTCACCATCCTCTGCTTCAACACGAACAGGAAACAGTTTGTTCCAGGACCACATTCTTTTGGATTCCGCTAACTGGACATACACTGTTGCCCTATGAGGCACTGCCTCACATCCTTCCTGAGTGTTCAAAACAAAGGGTAAATGCACTCAACAAATCTGATTTAACATGCATGAGAATTAAATCAATCGAAATGTGAAACAATTTAAAGAAAAATTGGACTAGCTTTGAAATCTTAAACACAAATTATTTCAGAGACTTCTGTAACATCAGAGCACTTTCACTTTCTCTCTGTGAAATATGATACACATATCTATCCCTCTTCAGTGTAGTTCAGCAAGGCCAGATTACTTTCTTAACCAGGCAACAGTATCGTTTTACTAGCCTCAGTTAAACACATACTTCCATTCTCGTTCTGAGATGAGAGATCAATCTTGAGCTTCTCAAGTCAGGTAACTACTCAGCTATCAAAACTGAGTTTGTGATTACAATGAGTGAATAATTATGGCTCAAATATTTATGCAGTAACAACTCTGTACCCATGTTTAAAGAATACAAAACATACAAGTTGTTCTAAAAAAGCACCGTGAACTAAGAGCTAACTGTGAAGTCAAAGAACAATGCTTTTACAAAAAAGACTAATTACAATTTAGTTATATGTGGAGATCAGTAAAAAAATTTTGGAGTGCTATTGTCTTTACACGTAAAACTGATGAAATGAAACTTAGAAACCTAAATAAAGTTTTGCCATCCACATTTTAATTAAAGGGAAATATTAGAAGGGATAAAAGAAAAAGCCCTAAAATTTTATCTATAGATTAATATTCAGTGGGTATTTTGACACATACTTTGATTACAGTGTTTAAAATATTTTCACAGGCAGAAAACATGCAGAGGAGAAAGCTCCTTAATAAAAAAAAATATCAATGCCTGGGAGGTGAAGCCCATTAAATATAAGTGGAGATAAAAAAAAAATTATTAAAAGGTCTTGGGACCTATTTGCCATTGGAACAAACTACTAAGGAAAGTTCCAAATCAGAACTGGATGCCTTTCTAAAATGCATTTGTTAACGAGCAAGTTACTGATTTTAATACAAAGCAACTAAGTGTGATTTCAGAGCCTGTGATTTACAATATGTACTCCAATAGCATTATTCTAGAAATGAATCTAGTATATTATTCACTGAATAAGAAATTAGCACAGCTGGTGGTGTATTTACAAAGGACACAGAAATCAAATCAATCAATCAACTTCTATCTTACTCCAAAAAAGACAAGTTTCTCTAGGGATAAATCTGACACACTAACAATTTCTGGTTTCTTACCTGTACAAGGTATTTGTGTGCATGCTCATAGGTTGGTAAAGCTCCTTCTCCTATCAGCTCTGTATCAAATAATTCTGTTACCAGGATGTTTGCACGACACTGCATATCTCCATCTAAAGACACAATTTAATACTGTAAAATTAAGATCTTACATAAGTCTTTTGAAGAAGATGCTACACTGAAAACACAAGTAATTAAAAAACTTATTCCTGTTGGAGAACCTTCTGAAGACTGCAAATTGTTTTCTTTTAGAAGTTTACTTTTACTATGAAATACAAACAACTACTGAAATACTATTACAACACTTCCTTTTGAAGGAAATTTCCAATGCTGCTTTCTAGGGAGTAAAGGATTTGCTTGGTTTAATTAAAAACATTCAGAAAGTAAGAAAAATACATATTCTCTCATGGTTTTGAGATACTTGCCAATTTTTAAACCCTAGCCTATTTTTCTTACCTGGGCCAACTGTGACTTCAGTGGAGTGCTTGTTGATTACCTTGATCTTGTCACGAAAACCATTTTTCTCCACTATTTTCACAGCAGCATTAGCCATGGGCTTGAAAACCTGTAAATAGCAAGACTCTAACAAGTAAGCTAACACTAACTTTTAAAAATGAAAGGACACCAACACCAAATGCAGTATATTTAGTCCTGCCAAAATTTTAACGTCTTCTGTATCTTCTCCTGTTTGAAGTCTATTACCATGAAACAAGACAGCAAGCCTCACTTCAAAGGTTCATAGAGCTCCAATGTCAGTTACAAAATATCAGCTGTCTCCAAAAGCTACTGAATTTAACTTTTGAAAGACAAAAATACATGTTAAGAATATTTTAGCAGTTACATTAAACAAACTTGTTATTTTCAGAAATAAAGATATATATGCATCAAAAGAGGCCTCCAGAGACTTTTATGTGCTCAAGATATAAAACAAATGAATATATAAAGGAACCCAAAACAACTAGCACTGAAATGATCACTTAAGTACATCAAAAATCTGCTTTTATTAATAGCATAACTGTGACAAGAATTTTTATTTCATTTAGAACAAAGAGAAGAACAGAGAAAGTATGTAACTTGAAAATAGGATGAAGAAGAATGTGTTGAAAGGGCTTAACATTCACATCCAAACTCAAAAACGTTAAACATTCTACTCGGCCACACAACCTGACTACTTAAGAAATTTGTCACCACTTTGGAACCTAGCCCAAGTTCCAGAACTGGAATAATGTACTCCTATTAGAACACCTATACCAGTAGCTCTCAGACTTTTCATATTAGCCTCTTATTTTCCATCATGTGCTTCCTTTCCTCCCAAAAGTGGGCGATCCTCCTCTGCCAGAAAGGTCAACAAGCTACTAAGCAGAAGACAAAAGACCCCTACTACCACATCACTTTTGATACTGTCTCTTCCATATGACTGGCTGTGAACAGATTTATTCTGGAGGTTATTGCTTCCTGTGCATACAGGAAAGATGACAGTCCCTGAAAAATGATCATAGAATAAAATCCTAGATTAAGAAAAGTAGATTTTTACTTGAATAAAAATCACAGCACACCCTTTCAACTATGACCTACAGACAAGTGAATCTTCTCTTTGTTTCTTCAAATGTGCAAAACAAAAAATTAAATTGGCCAAAACGTTCCTGTTATCCTTAATATAAATAACGACTGCTAATGACCATCAGGATGTTTCTTAACTGCCAATAAAAAAGATGTTCTATCTAATCACAAAGAGATGGAAAAATAAGTTTATGAGACATTCTTTTTATTAAGATGGGGTACATTTTATGATTAAGTGGGTCTGAGACCCCATCTCCATGAGCTGAAACTTCAGAAGATCAGCAATATAGTTTGAGAACACATACCTTTTTCAAAAGCATTGAAGTTTTCCATATTACACTTGAATTTTGATATGTAAAGAAGACAGAAGACTATAAAACTTGACTTAGTAGTGTTAATCTGTACATTTACAGAAGCTATCCCAAGAATGAAAAATGTATTATGTCTTTTCAACCATATCCTTGTAAGATCTAAGTCTTCTTCACACACATAAAAGCATCAAACTTGCATTTCAGAAACCACAGTACAAAATGGCAAATGCATCCACAGCACTGATCACCCAGGCACAATTGCATTAAAGCTCTACAAAGAGGTTATGGGCATGCATGCAAAAGGACATGCAACCAGTAGCAAATGCTTACCTCAACTGCATAGCAGAAATCTGCACCCGCTGAAGCTGCCATCATAGACAGGAGTCCTGTGCCAGTCCCTATATCTAGAACAATTGCTTTCTCACCTCTTTCTTTTACTCTGTTCACTGCAGCACGAATACCTTGGTAGTACTTTGTGTTCTGTGGAGACGGGAAAAAAAAAAAGGAAAAAAAAAAAAAAGAGATCAGCAACCTCTTATCCATTTATACTTATATCTTTCATGGAAAATCTTACATTCTCGGACTATGAGTTTATAATTAGATAAAAGCCTACAGACATTCTTATGCTATATTCATACCCAAGCCGTTTTCAGCAAAAGGAAGTGTTTTTGGAGGAATCAGTCCATTTAAAGCACAACAATTTTTATCACACTCTTCACTTATCATTGCTCAGTCTGCTATTTACAGTGCATGCATAATTTGAAAATGCAATGCATTTTCTAGACATAAAAATAATAGTAAGATCCATGTGAAATACTACTGGGTTTCTTATTTTTTCTCTGCAGCACCTCTCAAACAGTCTCCTAGTGACTATGACAGCACAAGAGCTGAAGTATCCTGGATTTAGATTCCTCTCCATCTCTGGAAAATGTTCATACATGAGAAGCAACATGTGTAAAAACGACACATAATCAAAAGCCAGTAAAGTGGGTCTACATGCAATAACAACAATAACAATACAATAACAGCAATAACAACAGGGAAAAAAACAAATCTTGCCATCTGTCAGCTACAGTATACCTATAGAAATACACGCTTATATTTACTCCATAACAGCTTATTGTAAATCATTTGGAAAGGAATGTCTTATCAAGCCTTTCGAAATAATAACCTTTGGACATATGGAATCTGCTGGGTTCCTTTCCAAACAATTCTAGTTAACACTTCTGACATATAATTCCAATAGAGTTGTTTTAATTACTTAGACACAACTGGCTGCCTCTCCATGGCTTATTAAATGCCTGATCCCTCTGGCATGTTTCAATTCAGTATGAATTCAAGACTCATAGTACAGGCACCATAAAAGTCTTTAAAAAGGTTATTGACTACTCAGCTAGAGCAGAAAGAACATTTAAACCATCCGCTCCATACTTTATCATGTCTGTACATTTGGTATCTCAATTTTCTTCTCAATCTTAAGCATTAAATAAGAGCTAAAAACACTACAAAAGAACAGACTTTACTTACATTCCTATAAAAACTAAGAAGCCTAGATTCACATTTACAGCCTTTGAAATTTCATCTAATAAGCTTTGTTAAAATGTCAAACACAGAACAGCAAAAGTCAGCTACTGAATGTAAATATAATGTTCTGCAGTAAAAAACCAGAACACTATAGTCACATGTTGATTTAAGAGCATGTCTGGTATCTTAAAGGGTACAAATTCGATCATTTCATCTTTCAGAGAAACTTTTATAACTATGTAGTGACAGCTATTCAAGAGAAAGGAAATGAGTATTTTCTCACCATTCAAAAGGTTTTTTTGCTTCTGTACTTACTCTGTCTTTATCATGAAGCATATCTGCATAGCGTGACCTACAATAAAAAAAAATCCAGTCAAAGTACTACATACTGCAAAGCACAACAAAACTGCTAGATCTCGCATAGCCTCCTTTGTTTCCTCTTACTAAGGCAACTGGACCCTATGGCCCATAAATGCACAGGGAACTGACACACGCTTTGAGAATGTGAACCGCTTCCCAGATCTAAGGAATAATGTCATTTCGGTGAACCGATCATGAGCATATAAATGAACTAATTAACTGCTGGCATATATCCTCTCTTCAGCAATGGACACAATACATGAACCTATGGACAAAGAGCTGTGAAGTAACAGCTGGCACAGACAGAGGTTCATACAGAGCAATACATAGCAATAGTCAGCCCAATAACGATCTATCATTTGTTATAAAGACTTACATTTCTTTGGTCCCCATTTCTTCATGGGTTACGCTACTTAAAAACACCCCAAAATCTAATCTTCCCCATTTCTCTGGTTGTTACATTAAGCTCTTAAAAAGTTACTGCAGGAACAGACAAGTGGCAATTATTTCTTGCACTAGAGATTTAAAACAAATTTAGTCAATGCATTTTGCCACAACTCAGTCACTGTCAGTATTAAGGTAAGTACCTCAGAAATGTTTAAAAAAAATGTAGAAGCAAACTACCTGGAGAATACTTTACAAAATTCTGCATTTCTAGTTCTGCCCTGTACAACACAGGGCACTGTAACATTTAGGCCGTCCTACAGTCTGTTCATCTTGTACCCTTGGAACTTCTACAGAGATAAACCCAAAATCTGTCATAAAAACAAGCTGTGTTTGCTCTTTTTTTGTAGCTCTGGCGGAGTGAGTTTTTCCAGCATACCTTGCAATTTCCTGATGGTAGTCATAGTCCTCATCCTCTTCTAACCACTCCATTGCACCAGTGGTTGGATTAGCTCTTCCACAAAACGTCCTCATGATCAATCTCGATTTGTATTATTTACGTATTATGTGCGGTTTTGCTGCTTCGGCTTCAGTATAACACTCAAAATACTGTCTGTGGACAAAAAAAAACCCCACAGAATTTCAAGTGAAAACAACAGACATCACTTCAGCTGTGGACACCCTTTCCCCCGTTACACCTGCCTCGGCCACAAGCACTGGTTGCGCTTTTTCTAGAAGGACGTTTTCAGCTCAGCCCTGCCGCCCAGCCCCGTTCAGAAACTCGGCCCAGAAAAAGATAAAGCAGCAGGAAATTCTCCAGGAAAAACACCCGTCTCCAAGGCGCCGCACGCCGCGCGGCGGGGCTCCCCACACCGCGGGCAGCGGTGGGGAGGCCCGAGCCGGGCGGGGCGGGTGCCAGCAGCCTCGGCCCGGTCCTTCCCCCGCCTCGGGAAGCAGCTGCGACGGGAGACGGCGGAAACACTTCCCTATCCCCTGCTGGAAAACAGCACCGCGCCCCCATCGCCCCATCTCCCCCCTCACGCCGCGGGCCCACCGCCACCCACCGCTGAGGCCGCCCCACAGCCCGCCGCCGGCCCGGCGTGCACCGCGCGGCGGCGGCGGGGGCGGTCCCGGCTCCCTCCCGCCGCGCGGCCGCCATGGAGCGGGTGGCGGTGCTGCGCGTCCAGCGGAAGCGCGGCGGGCCCGAGCCGGCCGAGTCGCTGCTCCTCGCCTGCAAGCGGCTGCGCACGGAGGGCGGCGGCGATCGGCCGGTGGAGCGGAACCTCTTCAAGCTGGTGGGCACCGTGTCCTCCCAGGTACTGCGGCCCGGGCGCCTTCCGGGTTCGCGGCGCCGCTCGTGGGGGCGAAGCCGGGAGGCGAGGTGCCGCCTTCTCCCGGTCGCCGGTCGGGAGCGCAGCGGGGTCGCCGCCGTGAAAAGTTGCGTTGGCGCCGGCTTTTCTGTGCTTGCAGACTGTTCTTCACGGACAGACCACAGAACCGGCGGGGAGTGAAGCCTCTTTGAGGTGCCGAAGCCCTCCAAGCCTAACAACTTCCATACACCGTGCTGCCTTTTTTACGGAATAAAACTGAATTTTCTTGTAGGAGCCTGCAAAAGATGTTATGCCTTCAACTTAGGGCCGTCATAGTCTTCCAAAGGCATGTTTTTGTTTGGAGGGTTATTCTGTACCACAAAGTATATTGTTTAAAAATGAAACAGGCTTGTAACATACAAATACCTTACGCTTTTTTCCCCATATCAAGGGAATGTTGTGATAGTTGTGGTGCTTAAAGCAGTAGCAGAAGTTACTTGAATGATGTTAGAAACTTTGGTACTGTGGTCCTCGAATAGGAAGCACCAGTAATAGTAGTTACTAATCACTTGAGAGCTCGTTATGTCACTGGTGTCGTTATATTCCTTCTTTTTGTTCCTCTACCCAGAGTGAACCAGTTCAGAAGTACGTTCAAGAAGTGATCACTCGAGACAAAGCAGCTCAAAAACTGCAACCCTCTTTAGGAAGCACTCAGCGAATCATTCAGGAGCTCCGCTCTTCCAAGCAAGTGAAAAGGAAGGAAAACCGCTACCGTGTGATAGCCAGCCATCGGCCCAGCTGTGCTGAAACAGTCGCACCCGCCACAGGCCGCCAGGCACCGCTGGATGGGGACAGACCAGGCTCTGAAGGGACAGAAGATGCTTCACAAAAGGCGAGCGGTGCTGTTGATAAGAGTTCGGACTGCTGTGGGGAATTCCAGCTGTTCGATATTGTCCAAGAAGAGGAGGTGGTGGGAGACTCCGGTGTAACTGCTGCAAACCCACAGGTCAGCAAACAAACTTCTGGTGCTCAATGCATTTTGATATCACTGTTGACATGTGGGCAGACTGACTGCTGTGGAAGTTGTTTTGCATTGTAAGTATGTCACTATTTAATAGGAGCTTTAACTAGATATTTGCAAGTTGGAATAGTTTACAGGGAGTAACTTCAATGAGGATCCTTAGGTACACTAATGTTGTTGAGACTGGTATCCGTGTGGAGTTGGCTGCAGCAGGAAGGGCTTGTACCACCCTGTTTTTTCTGTATCCTATTCTGATGTATAAATTCTCACATTCATTTGTCAGATGGATCTCTGAGGGGTTTTTTTAATGTCTGCCTAGAAAAGAAAAAATCTAATTCAATGTCTTCTCATCTACCCACATGCCTAGGAATGTCACTTGTAGGCCAGTTTCCTAAAGGAAAAGATGGGTTTGAGCTTCCCCTTCTCATTACAATATAAGGTTTTATTGTGTATTTTGTTTTTAGCAGAACTCTAGGCGTTTGTCAGGCTGCTTAAGCCCCTACGTCCCGTTCTCATTGGTATTATATTTTGAGTTTGAGGAGTGTCTGCTCAGTATCTAGCATGGTTTTAAGTATGAAGGAGCTCTGCCATCTGTGGAGGGTTACCCAGCATACAGAGTGTTAAGATTTTGTATTAGAAAGCCGTAACCACATGGATAAAAAAGGTGAGGGCTGCATATGCTTTCTTTAGTAGCTCCTTCACTGTATAAGTACACATGGATGTTTTGCTTACACAGCCCGTCACAGCTCTGAGAAAAGATACTTGAGTGAGGAAGAGCCCAATTAGCTGTCATCCTTCAGCATTTCTTATAGGTTATTTCAGGGTTTTGCCATCAAACTTGAATATGAACTCTCGCTTTCTCTTAAGCAGGTAGTTCAAACAGGCATTTGAGATCTGTTAGTTAACTGTTACTTATTGCTCTGCTGTGTAGAAAAACAGGAATGAAACAGCATCAGAATTTTACTCTTGTAGAGCTAGCAGTAAGAAAAAGTAATCGTTTTCATTTTGCAAGTATTTAGAAGTGAATTAAAGGCTGGTCTGTTGCTATTCCTCAGAATTAGCTAAGTAGTTCAGGAGACACTACTGTGGATTGGACAAGATATTCTGAAAACCTCTAGCAGAGAAAAATTGGCAGCAAAAACCTGTCTGTGTAGACCTTCAAGCGCAGGTCACTAAAGCAAATACATTGCAAATAGTTTGTTAGGAAGGAGAAAGCTTGAAGAAATTTCTGTGTTAATGTTGAAGTGAGGAGATAAAAAAGAGTATCTGTAGGGCCTGTCAGCCTTTTCCTGTTAATCTATCACATTTTCATTGTTTCTCCTGCACACTTAGTATACTGTAAGTTGCTTGCATATTATCCATGCCACTGTATGTACACTTTTCCTGCAGTGTTGCAAGTGTAATGCTCTGCAAAGCACAGACTGTTTTTAAACTGTCTTTTCAATGAGCATGCCATCAGAAACAGGTGAACAGTTCTACGGGATTAATCACATCCCCTTCAACAGTTTCTATTTAACTTGTCCCAGAATTTTTCTCCTATTATCTGAAACAAGGCATGCCTGCACAGTACTATGGTAATTGGAAAAGTCATTCTGTTCTAGGCTGCTAATGTTCTAAATATTGGCATTTCAATGGGAAAGTGTTTTAGTCTAAGACTTCAGAATATCATCCCTAGCTAGCTGTTGGCTACTGTCTATAAAGAAAACTGTTGGCTGTAATTAAGACTTTGTGTGCATGGCTTCAGTGGAAATACGCTTTTTAATTTTTGTTTTTCTTTTCTCTCAGCAGAAGACTGATCCAGATGTGATTCTTTGCAATGCAGTAGAGATGATCCGTGAGCGTTTAAATGTTTCTGAAGATGGTAAAAAACACCATGAGAAAGAAGATGAGTATGTTTATGACATCTATTATATGGAAACATCAGCCCTTGGTTGGATTCAAAATATCCTTTCTGTACAGCCCTATAGTGAAGAATATGAACTGGTAAGGGTGTGGGAAAACAGATCTTTTTAAAATAGAAAGGTCACAAATAAATGTGCTTAAAGTCCTATTGTTAAAATTTGCTATGCCAAGAAAGATCCTTTGAGATACTAGACATGCTCAGTGACTTGTGTTAGGCTTTTTGTAACTGCCAGTCCTATGTTCCTGCAGGTTACTGCTGATCCAAGCAAATTATGACAATGAAAACTGAAGGGATAGTGCTCATATACACAGAAGAATTTGTCTGGCTTCAAATTGCCAAATTTTAGCACACAAATGTAAACTTAAGTAATTCGTCTCTCATTTGTGATTAGGAGGCAGTGATTAAAATGTAGTTGTAAATATGATTGAGTGAAAAAAGGAGCAACACTGGACACAACTTTTTCAAAACTTAATACAAAACATTTTCTTGTAATAGTTGTCCTTCAGTGACTGTGGAGTTAGGAAGTTAAATGTAAGCTTTAGTTTTTCATAGTATAGATACTGTGATGAATAGACTTGCATATTGGGATCCTGGAGCAACTTTTTATTTTCCTTGATCTATTACACTACTACTGAAGTGAGCAGAATTTAGACATTAACCTTAGCATTTAAATGTTGAAGTGGAACATGTAAACACATAACTTAACTGATTTTTCACCTAAAGCAGATTTCTGTGTTATGGTGAATATACCAACACCACAAATTTTTCTGCAGTGTGCTTTCTGCAACTGCAGAATTACTCATGCATGAAGTAGATATGTATCTCTTGATTCTTTAGGATCTATATAGTGTTGTATAGGTGGGTGAAAAACCACTTAATGCTAAGTGTACTTGTAGTGAAAGTTACATTTTGTGTTGACATGCAGGTAGATGATGATCATGTTCCAGGGGAAACATATGAAGATGAAGATGATGAAAATGATGAAAATAACTGGCGTAATGATTATCCTGATGAAGATGAATTCTTACCCGAGGAAGATGATGATGGAGAAAAAGGTGTGCCTGTCACAAATACTGTTTGCTTTCATGCTGTGCACATATAAACCCCATCCTTTTTTATATGCTGTCTCTAAAAAAGAAAAAAACAAAACAAAACAAAACAAAACAAAACAAGCACTGCTGGGGTAGTGTTCTGCTCTTACAATGGGTTAAATCTGCTTAGAGAAGAATCCTCTTTCTTGGAATTACAAGGGATCTTATAGTGTTTGTATAAGGTCAAAATTAAGAACTCCAGGCTGCTGTAATTGCAAAGGATTGCTTGTTTTGAGAAGGAATAAATGACTTGGTTCCACATGTTTGTGAAACACTGCCTCTGCCTTCTAAACTCCCCATCCCAGTGCACTCCAAGCACAATTCACACCTCACCTAATACAGCAGTTCACATTTTGTATTTGTTAACTTCAGAAGCTTAAAATAGTCTGATTAACCTAATTGTTGAACTAAAAAGAAGGAATAATCTAAAAGCATTGATGTTCTTTCTTTAGAATCTGAAGAGAGCTTCAGTGATGAGGACCAATGTTACAGGAGAAGAACATGGAACAAATACCGGCAGGAGGTTCTACAGGAATTTGGATATGATGAGATCCAGGATTTGGATTCTGACTAACAGCCCTTTTTTGAAGATGCAGTGCATACTGAAGATGAAATTCTGCTGTTGCAGTAGAACTGAAAATCCAGAGGGTAGCTGATGGCTATTCATAGGAATGTTGAACTAAAAAAAAAAAACCAAAAAGCAGAACAAAAGCCTGCAAAACTGCTTTCCACTAAAAGTTGTGCTCACTGGGACAGTACGAAACCAGTCTTTACATGGATGAGCTTTAGGCTAAATTTTTGCCTGTTTGGCCTCCTGAAACTGTTGGTGACTAGCATGGTTCACCACTGCTTACTGACTAGGCTTGAGTATTAGATACTAGATTGGGATTCCAGTAAATACTAAAACCTTTTACTAATCTGAGCAGACAACTTTAGTTGGTAGGTGTTAAACAGATGGGTGTAAATAGGGCCAGCTGCCAACACAAACTTTCATTCCAAGCAAAAGATACTCTATTCTTTAAAATAGATTTTTTTTTTTCCCCCCAATCTGTGATGCCTACATTCTGAAGAAACTTTTTTTTTTTTTTTTTTAAATTAAGCTGTCTGCCCAAGCATTTGTACCTGTATTGACATTACCTCTACATTATATATGGATGTATTGTTGGCAGCAGCCTTTCTGGTCATGAGTAATGTGTCGGGTTGCACAAAAAGATCAACATGTCTGCCATGATGGCAAGTAGAAGTCCTGGAAAAAGGCACTCTGTCCTAGTACGTTCTACTCTATTTCAAGTTACTTTCTTTACAAGTGTTTGACCATATGAAATGCCTTGACCTGTTAATTTTATTACTGTTACTCCAGTAATTTTACTACTGAAGTAGAACAATATACATGTATTTAAATTGTAAATAAAGAATTTTTGACTAAGTTTTCTTACTCGTTTAAAGATCAAAGGAGTTGGTACAGCTAAAGCCATGTCAGCATTTTAACTTGCATTCATACATCTTTAAAACAATTTCATCTTACCTGTTTGGACACAAAAAATAGTACAGCACTCTCCTACTTGAGTCTGTAAAAAAATAGCTAATAGGATGTTAGATCAATGTCATTCATGAGCTGTAGGTTGCAGCAGTGACTTTAGGTCAATTATTTCTGGCTGGTGATGTCAAGGCAGTAGAAGCAAAACGTTTTTTTCTTCGGTTTCGCAGAAAGGTTAATATGGCTGTTAACCTAGCCTGTTAAAGCTATGCTTGTCCACTGGACAGATGTCTCAACATAGATACTGAATTCATTCTAATCATATGCAAGATTAAAAAGCTATATTAGAATAACTAAATGCTAATTTTAATTAAAAACTGACAAGACTCTACCTGTGTGCCCAGTGTGCAGAAAGTTCCTCAGATAGATAGAATTTAACTATCTTGAATCCCAGTGCTGCTTCATAAAGGTAGCCTAAGATTCCATTTTATGTTAGTCTTCACCATCTTCTACGCTTTGACAGTATCTGTAGCTTTTTGTTTAAGATAATGTTGGTCAGGGAGTCAGTGCGAGAATCCAAATACTCTCAATATTATTCAAGTGGCTGATGCAAATGTGGTGCAGCATTTGAACTGTGCGTTGCTTCATTCATAATATGATTACAAGATTTAGTTGCACTTAAATGCACAAAAAACTGCACCTGTGGACAAACAGGTCACTCAAGGTAAACATTCTAAACTAAGATAAAAATTTCAGTTATGTTTTTGAAGTATATTTCTGCTAGCTAAACAGGCTGGTATCATGTTACCTTTTGATGCACCAAAATTCAATACCAAAATGTCCTGATGTTAGGCTTATGGCTTTGGAACTACAAATACAAATCAGACCGTATTGCAATACTGTTTTTCATTCCTGTTCTTATTCCTATTTTATCTCCTTGATTCTTAGCTTTCAAGATACAGTTGCTGGCACAGAACTGAACTGCTACAGAAGTAAAAAAGAGTGGTTTGGTCTGTAAGATTTTGGATGGTCATTTTCTAGTGAACAGCACTGAAATTTAAAATGGGCGTTTTCTGACTGCTAAGGTAACACTGCTAACGTGTGTTCACTCAAACAGTTCAGAAACAAATGCTTACAAGCTTCAAATGGAACATTTTAATTTTAGAAGTTCCATAAAGCCTAGCAGAAGTTGACCCAAGTACCAACAAGCTAACAGGAAAGAATCATCAATTGTTAATGGAATCTTTAATGTCGAGGTGTTTTGTTGATTAAATCTCTGCCACAGTCAGCTACCACATTTCCACACAGTGTATGGCATAAAATACTTATCATTAAGGGATAAAGGTTGGTTCAGTCTTTAAATAACGTAGCACAACTTTATTCATTTTTCTGCTAATAATGACAAATTAGGTAGTTTGTTGTGACCAGTTGTCTTCTGGGATAAGAACCGAGATAGCACAGCAAATCATTTCATGCAAACATCCAACAGAATTAAGCTGGAAATGACTTTTGGTCTTTTGAGTCAAAGTGGTTTTCAGTCTTAAAAAAGCATTACTTCACCTCCTGGTTCTGCAGAAATCTAATTTGATCCATTAGCTCTTACCATTTTAATACCAATTCTGAAGAAGGAACAGTATTGACGCATAGCTTGTGTGCCTGAAATGAATAGGTAATCATTATCCAATGAAAACATGCCCTGAAAATATGCCACAGTTTAGGAGAGTGGTGTGAGGGCACGATCTATGTGGGAATCCAACTGCCGGTAAGTACATTTTCAGTGTTTCTTAAAGACCAGTGGAAACAGTTTTCCTGTTTTTTCCAGTTCCATCTCTTCCCTTTTGACATCACTGTTTCATCCTCCCTCCTGTTTCTTCTACTGGCTTTGAAATTTTAGTTGGATTTGATTTCTGACTTCTTTTCATTTGTGTCCATCTCCGTTAAAACACAGTAACAGAGCAGCTGCATGTTTCGTGTGACTGCACCTGCATAGAAAAATGGAGATAAATCAGAAGAATAGCCACCTATCTCAACTCTAATTACACAATATGCATCGAACTAATGAAAGCCAGTTGTCAAGAATGCTGCCTCACTTTTCTTAAGGGCAACAAATGATAAAAGTTAATACAAAAAGTGTCTTCCACTCAAATTTTTTAAACAGATAATGTTTAAAACCATTATGTTGTTATCCTAGGGTATTTTTCTCAGGCACCTTGCCAAGTAACTGAAGTAAGACCTTTTTTCTCTATAATTAAGAGTGTAAAATCGTTAGTATATAACAAAAAAACAAATAGCACACAGGAAAGTGAGAAGATTGCTGAGTATTTACATATTCTCTAGCTGCTGCAGCACCACATCCTGTCTCAGACTAAGATCAGGCTACAATGACAACAGTGCACTGCTGGAGAAAAATGTACAATTTAACTGCAGCAATTCAATAGAAGGCAAAACTCCACCTGTGACTGACATCAAATCTATCCATCTTCAAACAACTGATTCAGTAAAGCAAGACAGCTAGCTTGCATTACTAAGAACGTCCTGTACTTTTAGTGTCATCAACCTTGTTTAAAAAAGAGGCTTTTCATGTGCTCGGTTAAATAGAAATGTATAAAAACTTAGGACACAATCTGTAGAAAGTGGTTGGTCTTTTAGATACACAGTAAATGAAGTCTATGTGTAAAAACATATATATAAAATCAGTATATCCTTTACTCGGCCTGGCTGGAATGCAGTTAACATTCTTCATAGCAGCCCACAGGGTGCTGTGTTTTGGATGTGTGGCTCAAACAGGGTTGGTAACACACTGATGTTTTGACCATTGCTGAGCAGTGTTTGCACAGCATCAAGGATTTTTTTCCTCCCACTCTGCCCTCTGCAACCATCAGGATGGGGATGGGCAGGAAATATGGAGGGGAGATGGCCAGAACAGCTGACCCAAACCAGGCAAAGGGATATTTCATGCCATATAATGTCATGCTTAGCAATAAAAACAGGTAGAGGAAGAAGTGTGTGTGTGTGTGGGAGGGTGTTTTCCAAGGTGGCCGTTGCGTGGAGACCGGTTGCACATTAGTCAGCTTGTGGGAGGTGGTGACTGCCTTTGCTGCAGTAGGGCTTTTTACCCTCTTTCCTTTAGGTACTAAACTCTCTTTATCTTGATCAACAAGTGTTCTCACTTTTGTTCTTCCTCTCTCCCCCGCATCCTGCTGGGGAGCCGCTGGTAAGCAAGCAGCTCTGTGGGTACTTAGCTGTTAGATGAGGTCTGATGGTCACAACCTTTTTCAACAACAAGCTGAGATTCACTTATTTAATTTTCCTCTTTCCTAACATCTCCCCCTACAAAGAAACTTACCTAAAAGCTTGTTGATAAACTGAGGTCTCCTTGATGCAGGTAAATAGACTCCCAGAAAAAAGACTGGAATTCCAGATAAAGCAATGGCAATTCCAATCAATGAATTTATAGTGTCACTATAGAGTGGCACTACCACCAGAAATACTGTGCATATACAGAATATTATTGGGAAAGCCACACTCAGCTGGAGACAGAAAAACAGAACAGAATGTTACTGAAATACTCGTTGTCTAGAGGTACAAATATTTAGGTAAGAGTCGCAGACATTTCCCTCTCAACCCCACTTTGTGAAATTATTTGCTCTTCCTCTTATACATCTGGCTATTTGGAACCATAAGCACACTGCAGAATTAGTCTCGAACAGAACTGCTTCTAAAAATTGCAAAAGTAATCAAGTATGGTAACTGCTGTGTTGAAAGAAACTGTATAGCAGCATGAAGGGTTTTTAGACAATCCAATAAAACTCAGGAAACAAGAATGACTTTTTCATGTAGAGTATCAACTTAAAGTATAAAAAGGTGATGAGAAGAACAGATAGTGAACTGAAACACCATCAGAGCTAAATGTGGTCCACACTGACAGAATTCATTAATTTAAGCATTCCTAATTAGAGATTTCTAATCCAAGAAAAAAGGCTAATTACTATGTTAGCCTATTGAGACATCCTCCAGTTGACAAAGAGAAGGAATACTGATTGAACTAACGTACAATAAAAGAGCACAGTATAACAACAACCACTTATCTAGCAGACAAGCTAGCTTTCATGGTACAACCTAAAATGGAAGCCATGTTTTATATTCTGATCAGTTTGTTTCTGATCAATGGCCCAGATTTTAGACAGTACTTTTATATTACGTGCAAGACAGGGATTTTAAACAATTCTGTACTAAATATTACCTTAAGAGGCCTGGGTCGATCTGGTTCCTTCCAACGTAGATATAATTGCCCAGCAATAGACAGACCAACAAAAAACCAGTAACTGAAACTGAAGTAATTAATAAGCTTGAAGACATCTTCCACAGCCAGGTAAATAAGGGTCATAGCACACTAGCAGAAAAGAACAAGAGTGAGATGAACAAAGGAAGTTTGAAACTTATTGTTTATCCTGCTTTCTGACTTAAAAGTAACACATTATACTCTTTGGTGTTTGGCATGATTTTATGCCTCAAAAATCACTCTCACAGAAATCACCTTGATAACAGTGAATCTAAAGTTCTCCCTTGTGATTTTTTTAAAGTTGTCCTTTAAATAATTCATATAGTCACATTCGAACAGCTGAAAAGAAAAGCAGCAATAACTTACATTGAAGAGCAGTGCTGGCACAGGTGTGAACCTCCCTACGTGGATCATAGATAACAGATCAGGAAGGTGACCTTCTCGAGATCCTACAAAAAATAGCCTGAAAAAAATAGTCAGAAAATGCTGAGGCCACAGGTAAAAGAGAATGTATTACAGAAAATCAGTGAACAATACTGATCAGAGTAAGTATTTACACCACTGAGCTTCCATCCTTTAAACTGGAATATGAATTAAACCCTTCTTGTAAAGATATACTGTACAACAAACATTAAAAAAATATATGCATTTAGAAACATGCTGTTAACACCCATTTAAAAAAAAAATCCTACATATAAAATAGAAAACATCTACAGTAACTGAAATAAATTTCTACTCTCTATAAAATTCTAAAAACTAGCGCTGAAACCATTCCAGCTTACAACAGAATAGTTTTCAGTGCCAACCGGAAGAGATGGCCAGCTGTCTGAAAAGAGGCCACTCAACCACATGCTCAAAAAGCAAACACATGTAATTTTAATATCAACTGCAAATTGTTCTGTATTGTCTGCTTCACCAGATCATGTTCATATTTGTCCTCAGTACAGAGGCATTGTGCGTGCATTCAATGGACAGGAAGGATCTTAAAATGCCTGAATGAATCTATTTAAAACTTTCACTAGTCACATCCATAATCAGTGCTCAGAACAAAGCTTCCATACTGTATTCTAAGCTTTTTGACTGCAGCTTAACAGCATCATCATCAGCTTTTAAAACATTTTACTTGGAAAAAACCTTAAAGATACTCATTTTTAAAAAGTCAGTAAGTTTTAAGTAAATACATTTGAAAGCAAGTACTTGCTACAGTTATTGTTATCAAGTAAAATGGAAGATAACTCAATCCAGATAATCAGAAAGCCTGAGGACTCCCCACACAGACAATATTTATTTCATCTTTAATTTTACTCTGCATACAGCTAGGAATGCTTTGAGAAAGTAAGGCAGTGTTAAGGGTGTATACACACACACAGAGGTTTATTTAGTTCTGTTATTTTATTGTGGTTATTCATTAGAGGTTTGGTTACAAAAGTATTTTTACCACTCTCATAATACATGAGCATAACAGTAACATGTAAACATATGAACATTTGTCAAACAGAAAGAGATATGCACTACCTTGATGATGCTAGAATTGAAGCATTAAGTCCACCAAAACAAGAAAAGGCTACAGCAATGGGAATTGTCCAGCTGAAGATACCAAACACCTGGTCAGCAAAT